CCTTGCAGTGAGGTTTAAAGACAAATTTGAGCTAAGACTGCATCTCCAAAAAGGAAGGGCAAGGGAGACCTCTTTTCACTTGTAATTGCTCGGGACTTCTTTGCATGCAATTTCATAATTGCTCTGCCTTGGAGTATGCCAATTTTGTTCCCTGGTCCACTGCCAGAAAAGAAAAAAGAATAAAGTTTATTTTTCAGTTGGATGGGCAAGACAGTCTAACGTAAGCAGGGCAATGCAGTTGGGAAGGCAGTTGGAAGTGGAGGCACAGACCAGAACTAACCTTTTCCTTGACACCAGGACTCCAATCAGTTCAAGGTGTGAGAACTTAAAATCCTTTCTAATGTAGGCACCCTTTCTAATCTCAGGCAGGGAACACAGCTCCTAAGAAGCCTACAGAGGGTAGAAATTTCACAGTTTCAAGAGAACAAACTCTGTTGTAAGGGACTCCGACACACAGTATTCTGGAACTTCAGATTTTCTGCACCTTACAGTTGTCTTTTAGTATATAAATACCACCACATAGAATAATAGAATCATTAAGGTTAGAAAATACGTCCAGATCATTGACCCTGAGGTGAGCTCAGCTGGTCAAAGCATGGTGCTGATAACACTGAAGTTGTGGCTTCAATCCCTCTATGGGCCATTCACTTAAGAGTTGGACTTCATGATCTTTGTGGTCCCTTCTGGTTTCTGTGATCTGTGAATCCAGTGTTTGACTGAACACTGCCATGCCAATTAAACCATAGCACTAAGTGCCATGTCCAGTCATATCTTTAAGACTTCCTGAGATGAAAGTGTTGACCTTATAAAATTGGCCTCAGCCCATTGATCCAGATCCCTCTGCAGATCCTTCCTGCCCTCAGGTAGAGAGCCTCAACACTCCCACTCAACTTAGTGTCATCTGCAACCTTACTGAGGGTGCATTCTACCCCCTTGTTCAGATCATTAATGAAGATGTTAAACAGGGCTGGCCCTGATACTGATCCCTGTGGGACATCACTAGTGACTGGATGCCAAATGGATGCAGCACGATTCACCACCCTTCTCTGGACCTGGCCATTCAGCCAGTTTTAAACCTGGAGAGGAGTGTGCCTGTCCAAGCCACAGGCTGTCAGCTTTTCCAGGAGAATGCCCTGGGAAATGGTATCAAAGGCTTTGCTGAAGGTCAGGTAGACAACATCCACAGCCTTTCCTTCATACACTGGGTAGGTCACCTGGTCATAAAAGGAGATGAGGCTGGTCAGGTAGGACCTGTCTTCCCTACCCCCAGGGTGGCTGGGTCTGATCTTTCATCCCACTTGGACCTCCCTAGTTAGCCAGGGCTTGTGATAAATGATGGAGAGGGGCTTAGCAAGCTCTTCAGCTCCCTCACTGCCCTCGGATGAATTCCATCTGGTCCCACAGACTTGTGAGGGTCCAAATGGCTCAGCAGTCCACCAACTACTTCCTCATGTAGTGCAGGGGGTCTACTCTGCTCTGACTACAAGCTCAGGGGGCTGGTTGCCCTGAGGATCACTGGTCTTTCTCTTGAAAACTGAAGCAAAGAAGGCATCAAGTACTACAGCCTTCTCCTCATCTTTGGTTACAGTGTTCCTCTCTACAACCAATAAGAGATAGATATTTTCCTTGACCCTTTTTATGTTGTTAATATGTTAATAAAACCACTTTTTATTATCTTTCACAGCAGTGGCCAGATCTAGTTCTAGCTGAGCTTCTGCCTTTCTTATTTTCTCTCTTCATGACCTAATGATATCCTTGTGCACTTCCTGAGTTGCCTGCCCTTTCTTCCAAAGGCCATAAACTCTTCTTTCCCCTGAGTTTCAGTAAAAGCTCCCTATTCAGTCAGGCTGGTTTCTTCCACATCAGCTCATCTTCCAGCACATGGCAATGGCCTGCTCCTGTACTTTTGTTTCCTTCTGAAAGTATGTCCAGCCTTCATGGATCCCTTTGTTTTTAAGGGCTGTTTCCCAAGGGACTTCGTGAGCCAGTGTCCTGAACAGATCAAAGTTCATGCTCTGGAAGTCCAAGGTAGAGGCTTTACTGATCCCCCTTCCTTACTTCACCAAGGATTAGAAATTATTATTTTGTGGTTGCTGTGCCCAAGATGGCCACAGACCTCCACACCTTCCACCAGTCCTTCTCTGTCTGCAAACAGCAGGTCTAGCAGAGCACTGCCCCTGGCAATCTCCCTTACCAGCTGTGTCAGGGAGTTACCTTCCACACTCTCCAGGAACTTACTAAACTGTCTGCTCTCTGCTGTGATGACCTGCCAGCAGAAAACTGGGAAATTTTGCATTACTTGCAGTCCAGCTCCAAGCTCTGGCATCTTTAGTCACTCTCTAAAGGCGTCAGCTTATCTGGGGACAGCACCAAGGTGCAGATTCAGGCACATGTGTAAGGCTATGTGATAGTTTCCTCTCTGTAAAACCACCAAACGTTCACATATAATTCTCAGATAAAAGCCATAGTAAGTTTGAGCTAATTAAATTATACTATGAATAAATTATAGTGTTAAGAATTCATTTAAGAGGCAAGGAGTTCAAGTCTTTCTGCTTATTTTATAATGTTATGCAGCAGAACAGCCACAGCCCAGGTAAAAATGGTCACTAAAGCCCTTATACGAGTTGTGTAAGGCAGGGCATGAACACTTACTCTGTTGCTTAGTGAAGTCATAGGCTTCCTGGTGGGAAGTGATTCAGCTGCCTAGGCCAGTGTGGGAACTGATTAGCATGTACAGTAAACCAAATACATTTCAATAACAAAACTCAGGCTTCACTTGCTTGGGAAAACCACTGTATTTTAAAATTCTAAGAGAAGGGCTTTTCTGAGCATTTGTGTAATGTATTGTTAGGAGTCATGTGTGCCTAAAAGAATATGTGTGTTTTGTGGACAGCTGACTTGCCCAGGAGAATACAAAATGCAAATCTGAGGTAAAATGTCAAAGAGCAAACAGGGTGTGAGTTAAAGCTCACAGCACACGTGTCTTCAGGCTGTGTTACTGTGCTCCTGTGAAAATACTGAGCCGATACTGATGAGTGCTCAAAAGATGTGGATAAATCCTATGACTTCAAATAAATGCCACAGTTTCCTCATATCTTTCTGGTGATACAAGACAATTTATGGTTCTGGTTTGAACTCTGTGCCAGCAGGGATGATCAGGTTGCACTCATTTAGTTTGCATTGCTTAGGAGATAAGCAGTTCCCATTTTCCAGGCATAAAGCAGTAACTCCCTTACTCAGAAATGAACTGTTGATTATTATTTCCACTAGAGAGCTGGGATCCAGCTGTAATCATTCACTGAGACACAGGTAAGTTAGATTATCTTCTCATAAAATAGTTTCACTGAATGAGAAGTTGATTTTCTAACATTAAATAGGCTTGATAGTAGCCTCCTCCAAGAGTCCCATCAGCCAACTTAGACCATGGATGTAATTCTCTTTTTGTTGCACTACTGCAGTACTTCATAATATTACAGAGTTAAAATCTCTGTGATGTGGCCAGTGAAAATTGCTTGTCCAAGTGGAAATCTTTTGACTTTGTCAATTATTTTTTTATTTTACAAGTTGACTAAAGTGTGACAATAGTGAGAGTAGCCTGAATGCAGCAATAATATTTATTAATGTTGAAAATCATTTGCTGCAGAGGGAGATTTTTGTTTACATCAGGAGAGCATGTTAGAAATGGGTTATCTCTGTTTGGCATGAAGGTGATGAGAAATGCAGTTGTGGTCATGTAGATAAGATATGGATATCGTGACTTTAAAAGAATTAAGTAATTTTGGCTACTTCTAAGCTCAATAAAAAAAATACATAGTTTACTAAGTAACAAAGAAAACAGTGAACTGTTTCTGCCCTCTCAAAACCCATTAATTGCTGCAGAGAAGAGACCACAGCAATTAGCAGCTAGCAAAACATTCAGCAGCTGCTGGCTTTTTAAGTGTTGTTTGTGGTTTCCGTAAATACAAAACAAGATGGGATTTTGCCATAGTTTAGAAGTTGCATTTTCAGGGAAGTGAATGTTTGCCAACTAAGATCCTGAAGCACAGAAAGGAAGGAGATTTGTCCCAAGCCACTGCAGAAACTCATGTGAAAGTCAGATATAAAAGCCAAATCAGCCAGCTCCAGTATTGTGCTAAATGACCTGCTGAGCCCTCTTCCATCTAGTGTTTCCTTTTCCTTCCTATAGTTGGTTGACAAAGAAGTATCTAGGCTAATGTCTTTACATACCACATGTCTATTTTAAGCTGTATTTGCTTTTGCTTTTAATATAAAAGTAGTTAGAGGTTTATCTCCCAATGGACTGAAGGGCTTATTTCTTGTTCCAAGGAATTAAAAGTTAGTAATAGGCATAGAACAGTGAGATGTTAGAATCAGCAAGCTAATGCAGGTGAAAGCAAGGGACTGGGCTATGAGAGACCGTGGTTCTTTTCTTAGCTCTGCCTCTGATGTGCTGAGTGATGCTGGATAAACCACATCTGCCCCTTGACAGCACATGTTTTCCCTTTCTAGATTGACAATGTTTGTAGAAGAGGATGCCCTCTCCCATTACATGCTAATGAAGGGTTCATATCGGTGAATTTTCATTCTAAAGCCTCTACAGTGTCTACTTTTTGTCTGCACATGAGAGAAGAGCAAGCTATTGCCATTATGTTTACCTCTGCCATTTGGGGGCCTCCCCTTCACATGGAAGCATCTGAAGGAGGAATAGGTGGAACAATTTTGGCTCACATCAGCCCTAGAACGGTTTGCTGCACTGCCAATGACTAGCAGTGGTCATGGCAGAAGTGAACAACTTGGCCAGGACACAGACCCAGGAGGGCTGTGTTTGCTTTTGGGTTGTCATGTAACTCTACCTGATTTGTTTTTGAAAAGCCTTAAAAAATGAGTGTCAATCCTACATTAATGTTATAGCTCTACTTATTTTATAAGAAGAGGTGAGTTGTCTGAAGAAGGCAAAGATAATTTTATATCCTCTGTTTTCTTTTGCTGACTCTCATAAGGACTTGGAGATCACTGTGGCACTCTCACCATTGAACAAGAAGCAAAGTTATTGCAAGGTTAGTGACTTGTAGCAAGAGCTTTTCAGCTCCTACTGCAGATGTGCAACAGTTGGAACAGCTGGTGCATGTGCAGCTCGGTAATGTTACTTCGAATCAAGTGATACTGTTCCCTGGTATTCCCAGGTTTCCTGATTCCCCTCTTCTCTAGCAGAACACTGGAATAGATGCAGCATGCTGAGGGAACTAGTGGAGTTTCCATCATCTTAAGTATAGACTGAAATGCCAGGAATGGTTTCTGCACAACTAAGCCTTTTTAGGGCCAGAGAACAAAGCAAATCTGTGTTTCTCAGCCTGTGGACCTCACACCTCTGGTAGTCAGTAAGGAAGCAGTAGGCAGTCCATGAAACAGACTCAGCAACCATAAAATGGATGCACACCTCCTTATATCAACAAACAGAAAAGGGCAAAATGTAGTTTGTAAATGAACACCTGAAGTTAAGCTTCATTATTTTTTGGTTATTTATGGAAACCATTGTGCCAGTACTTGTTTTTTCTTTTCCTCATAACACTGGGAGGTCCTTGGTGTTTAGAAAAAAAAGTGCTGTGATGATGTTTTGATTAACGTGTAAAAAAACCAGGAGAGAATGGATTCTAAAGATTGTTACCAGCTCTGCTTTTTTATGGTCCTGTATCCTCTGTGATTTCTACTTCTGCTCTCTTCTTTATAATTTTTACCACTATTTATGGTTCTCTTTCTTCTTATTATTAAAAAAAAAAGATAAGATGTACATGCAGCAAATACTCCCCAGCAATGTTTAGATCAGAAAAAGGAGCTCTTTTGTCTCTCAAACTGTGAGGATAATTTAGCTTGCTTGTACAGAATTGATAGATCCACTGTTCAGAGGCTTGTGTTCTTTCTCTTATTTCTCACTGTTCCATCTCCATTTCCCAGTATACTGTGCCTCCTTCCTGTAATTTGCCAGCTCTTTGAGCTCCAAGTTACCTGCCCTTTGTGCCTCTAACACTTAGAATGCTTCCCCACTTCCTCTCCACTTATTCAGTTTGTTCTTGCTTCCCTGTCACTGCCTTCTGCCTGCTGTTTTCCTCCACACAAAAGTACCTTTTCTGCTTTTAAAGTAATTAAATTAGCAGAGCTGATTGAAATCTAGGTGAAGTAATTCTCTGAGCACTGTGCTTTTCAATGGATGCATTACTCAATGCACATTAGCCAACCTCCTGTAGGCCTCGGTGAATGACAGAAATGAATATTTGATGAATATATTCAACAACAATAGCATTATTCAAACACTTTACTCAATAAAGTACATTCAGCACACTCAGAAGCTAATGGTGCATTCAGGTTACTCTGTTTGCTCAGCAGAACACGTGCCCAACCCCAAGAGGGAAAATCAAGTCACTGATATATGTGAGGGAAATGGGGTGGGAAGCCTCTTCTGGTCATTTGTGCCTCTCATGAGCAGGACATAGTGTATGTGCATGTTGTGGGGAGCTGTTTAAATCCTATATAGGGAATAAAGGGTGTATGTCATGAGGAAGAGAGATTACTTGCTCTATTTCCTGACTGACAGATCTTGTTTTCATGCCTATCACTTGTACTTCAGCTAGAAATGAGAAAAGCAAATCATCATATTTCTAATCTTCAGCTTTTGTTCAAACTGGGGTGTTCATGTCTGTATTGAGCAGAGGGTTGAAGTAAATCTAACCACAAATCCCCGCTTTTCACTTTTTGCTCCATTTAATGTTTCCTTGAGTACTTGGTGCAAATAATCTATCTTCTACTCTTTAAGACTCTCTAATGCCTCCTTTGTAATTTCCAGTAGAGGCCAGGTCTTCATGTCCACAGTGCCAAAGAGATCCCCCTTTAATGCTTTTGTAACTTTACTAAAACTTTGAGTAATTTCATTTTTAGCTTCAGCATTGGACATTACCTCAACACAAATTGATGTCATCTACATTTCCCACCATCTACTCAATTTCTTTAGCTAGCTTCCCTTCTTGACTCCCTTCGTTTCTTTCTGCACAAAATGAACCTTCTCCAGATTCTAAGGCTGAAATCCCTCCTTGGCTACAAGGATTTGGATCATATCTTTCCTCTCTTGTCCTTAGGTTAGCCTGACTATAATTTCTCTGAAGCATCATGCCCTGAACACTACTCAGCATCTGCTGCCATGTGTACCACCACTTCTTGAAGTTACAAAACCTCATAGCACTGCCATATTTTTGCTACTGCCCAGCTATGTGCTCACTAGATGATTTCTCTTTTTTTTGTTGCCTGAATCCTCAACTTGCTCTGAATTTCATACAGCCCACTTAATGTATTTGTCTTCTCTAGCCTGAGCTAACTTGACCCCTCATCAGTCTTGTGCCTGTTCTGTCTCATAAATCAATTTTCTCTTGTTTACCTGTTGAGTAACTCCTTGTCTTTGAAGTCTGTTTTATTTTTTCCATTCCATATGTTCTTTGCAATGCTTCAGTGAATTAATTGTATTTTCAAAGGATGCAAAAGCATCAGTTAACATCCACATCTATAGCAACAGCGGTCATTAAGCAAACATAACCTTTCCAAAGCACATTTGCAGCTCCTTTGAACAGGGGAGCTGTGCTAGTTACAACCCAAACAATACTACGAAACAGGCTCTGTGGCCCCTTCGGTTTGAAGCTGAAGGTTGTTCCCTACAGCCATTTCTCATTATCAAGTAAAGGCTGCCACTGGAAAAAACATAACCAAATTTCTGCAGACCTCTGGCTGCAGAAGCACTGTGGGCCACAAGACCTGCCCTGCAGTCCTTCAATAAATTTCAGTTTCTCCTCAACATTGCACACAGACCAGGAACCACCTTCAGTTCTGTGGAATCCCTGATGCCTCATTACTAAACATCTAGGTAGCAGATTATTTTGCTCTCTTTCAAATTAGCTTTGCAGGAATTTGCCCCTTGCTCAGGATCTGTTGATTTTAGTCAAATTCTTGATCCCTGTTTTCTTTGGTCAGGACTTCTTATTCTCCTTTATATTGTTCTTCTCAATGTGGGATTGGAAGAGAAAGTGTGAAGTTGTTCTTTTCTAATTCCTCTTGCTGCTCAGTTAAGGAAATAGCAGCTCAGCTTTGGGGAAAAGAGACCTCAAAGTAAATTTCTCAATCTATATTTAGGTATAACCATGGCCTGATTTCCACCAGTGTTGGCTCCCGCTGATTTTTGTGCCTTGCTGGTGGCCCAGCATATCCTTCATTTCTGTTCACATGGAGGCTCAGAACTGGTGTAACTCCAGTCATGGATAGGTGAAATCAGGCTTTTTACATTAGAAAGGTATGGTACACTTATAGTGGCCATCAGCAAAAGCCCCCTTGCATCTGTACTTGTTTTCCATGGCATAACAAAATCCAGAATTCCGTCCAACAGTCCTTGTGCACATCTTAAAGCCTTAGGAGAGCCCTCTTGAGGTTTTCCTTCACATCTCCAGAGCACAACTCATCCACAAGGGGCACACGCACGTGCTAACACTCACTCTCGCTCAGTGAGTGCTTTGTTTCCTTGCCTGTGATTTATTACATAGTGGTGTGTTCATGTTTGCTGTTCAGCTCCTTTGAGACTGTTGTGACTGTGTGTAACTTATTTAGAAAGTATTAAAGCCCTGAAGCTCACGTCTTGTTTGATTTAAACTTCTGCTTGAACTCTGTTTGCGGATGTGGAAGACAGGAATAGCTCTTTAATGAAAAAGTAACCACACTGCCAAACATATTTTAAAGCATAGGAGCATATGTCTGAAAGGAAATAAGCTGGTATTTCCCTGTTATCTTTTTTTATCTGCAGCATAAAGGAGTAGCTTGGTAACCATTCTTGGCAGTATTTCTGCAGCTGTCCCTCAGCTCCTCTAGTGCTAGTGCTCATCTCTATTGGCAGCAATGCAGGAATATCCAAACAACCTTGCTTCCCAGTGGAAGCCTGACCATAGGCAGAGGTCATGGTGGGCTGCAGAGCTGAGGGGCAGCAAAAGAAGCACTGTCAGTGTCAGTGGGATTTGTGTGTGCCACTGCAGCCACAGAGGGGTATATTTTCTCTCCTGCTAGGCAGAGCTTGCAGAAGCAGAAGATGGTATGAGGACATTAATTGACATAATACAAAGATCTGGAAACTTCTGATTTCCCTCACCTCATGTCTCCCAGCCATTCTGTGTTCTGGGAATACATCCACTTTTTTCTCTAAAAGAATAAAGGTGCTTGATACCCTCCAAGATCCACTCAGACCTGGAGATGAGGCCAGGTGCAAAGATGACTGTATATTCTTGGTGGATACCTCAGTCTTCTTTTGACTCTGATGAGTCTCACTGCCAGTGGCTCCTTAGGCAGCTCTTTCAAAAGAAGTGTTCTAGAGTTAGGACAGGGGAAGACTTGTGCAGATAAGAAACTGTAACACACATACACACAGACATGCACACATATTTTGGAGTCATAATAAGAAATACTACAAATAAAATCCAGTGAAGCAGGAAAATATTTAAAATATTGCACAAGTTTACCCAAAAGTTACACCACAGACAAAAAGAAATCAATTTGCATTTTTGTTGTCAACTTAGTATGGGATGCTTGGCTCCTATGCATAAATTTGAAAGTGAAATCTGACTTGACCGTGTGTAGTATTTGCATAACTGACAGGACTAAGTTGAGTGTAATTCAGTGGTAGTGTCAGCCTGAACTTGCCGGAAAAAGCCCTACCTGACAGCCAGGAGACCTCAGGGAGAAGGCACATTCCCCACAGAGGACAGCTTAACAGAATGAATAGACTTCAGCCTAATTGACAAAATGTATTTAAACAACAAATAAAATTTTTTCAATAGCCTCAGAATGTATCAGAATCATTGATAAACAATTTAAATTAATAAAAATTTAAATTAAATTAAAACAGAAATAAAAACAGCTTGTTTTCTTATTTAAATGCTTAGTAATATTAAATTACTTCTAAATGCTTAATAATTTTAAATTGCTTCAGTTACTACTTATATTTCATGCTGAATGAATGTCTCATTTGTCTTCACTCAAGAAGATGCATCTCTCTTATCTTGTGTTTCTTTCATATAGCATTTCCTTCTTTCCCTGAAGAGAAAAATGAGCTGGGTGTTCCTACGTGATCTGCTGAGTGGAGTGAATAAATACTCGACAGGAATTGGAAGAATTTGGGTAGCTGTTGTGTTCATGTTCCGCTTACTGGTTTATGTTGCTGCTGCAGAAAACATCTGGAAACATGAACATGGTGAATTTGAGTGCAATATCAAGCAGCCTGGTTGTGAAAATGTCTGCTTTGACCATTTTTTCCCTGTCTCTCACATCAGACTTTGGGCTTTGCAATTAATCATGGTCTCCACTCCTTCACTCTTAGTTGTCTTTCATGTTGCTTACAGAGAGAACAGAGAGAAACACAACCAGAAACTTTACAAAAATCCAGGAAAGATAGATGGTGGATTGCTGTGCACTTATCTAATCAGCCTCATTTTAAAAACAGGACTTGAAATAGTTTTTCTTGTTCTTTTTTATAAATTGTACAATGGATTCACAATACCACGTCTTGTGAAATGTGACATAAAACCATGTCCCAATACTGTAGACTGTTATATTTCCAAACCCACGGAGAAGATGATTTTCCTCTATTTTCTAGTGGCAACTTCATGCCTGTGCATCGTATTAAATCTAAGTGAACTGAGTTATCTGATTTTCAAATACTCCATAAAATGTTATCTGAAGAGACACGTAAAGAAGCAGCAAGGCTCAAAAAGCAATCACTGCGAATCAGAAGTCATCAGGTACAACAGAGCAGCAGCTGCAGGACGACTCCACAACAGCTCATCATCTTTGCCTCTGAATATGCAAGATGAACATGAACAACATTCCCCGCTGACTTGAAAGAAGGCTGGAGACCACCCTCCCATTACACAAGCTGTTTTTGACAATTTGCTTTTCCAATCTGTGCTTTGCAGAACTATTCTTTGAAAGGATAGTTACATAGGAAATGCTGTTTCTCTGTTAGTTCCCCATTACTTGAGCTGATAAAATCGGTTGCATTATGTATGTCGTACATAGAATCATTGAGACCTTTTCATGTTGAAACAAGAAATGTAGAAGTTCAGAGAATTCCATGAAGCTTTAATATAAACACAGATGCTTATGATAAATCATGCAGAAACAATTGCTCAAACAGTCGTGTTCTGAATATTACACAGAATTGCTTTGGTACAAGCAAAAATAGGCTTTTTATATGCAGAGATAGGAAGAACCTGGGATTCATTAAGATGAACAGCAAGAGGATATAGAGGATTTGTCAGCTGGGTGGATCAGACCTGGTAACTGCTAAAATGGCAGTGGGGAAGTGCTGGCATAGAGTGATTCCTGTGCCTTGGAAGTGAGCTGGATAGTCACAAATTTATTCCATTGGACTACTATAAAACATCTCAAAAACCCAAAAACAAACAAACAAAAAAAGAACCCAAGAAGAGGTAGGCACATCTAGTTTAGCCCATGTGATAAAGACAGATTTGGTTATTTAGCTGTTTGTGGACCACCTCCTTCTGGAAGTATTTGAGCCCTTACAGCTGTTAGGGTGTTAATCATAAAACATCCTTTAAGAAAGGCACTTGTTCCAGATTGTGCAAGCAGCATGTACCAGGGTATAGAATTAACTCTTGGTCACCTGCACCAAGCAGCTCCCATGTCATTAGACTTGTCTTCTGCTCTGTGGTAGTGGCATTTAAGCGAACAGATCAATCCCACTTCCCTAGGATCTGAATAGAGATATGCAGACTGCAAATATGGCAGAACAGTAGCCAGCAGTCCCTAGTATTAAGTAGCCTAGAATCTGGTCTCTTTAGTCAGGCTGAAAATTGCTAGTACTTCAGTCGATTTCTCTGCTGCAGAAGAACACCTGAAATCTAAAAATATGAACAACCTCCAGCAGAGACAAAGTAAAAAAGAATCACCTGTTCCCTCCCCCAAATTTCAAGGTATCTCTTAAACACCACACACCCCTGCTCTTTGTTATATGTGTGGTTTGGGCTAACAGGAAAGGGACAAAAATTATTTAAGACATGTCTTCTGTTGAACCTAGGCTTCTAAGACAATGGAAAGTAGCACCTTAAAACACTTCCTTCAAGGTAGTGTTCTCTTTCTCTTGCTGAAATGAAAGACCTCCAGACATACCTGGTACTGAGCCTGATCAAAATGCACTGTTTAGAGAAAACTACCAACTGAAGTGGAGCTGCCTGAATGCTGAACTAATTTTATTGGGTGTGCCAGGATAAGGAGGAAGAAACAGTAGCAAAAGCAGGTTAACTTTTTTTCACTGAGGCCCCCTCCAGCTCCTCGGCTTTGTTTACAAAGCATTACATTTAATGAGTAGCAGTTACAGAGCAAAACTTAGCAACAAATAAACAAGCTATGAATTTTTGATAGTGATTTTCAAGGTAGCGTTTGTTGTTTGGTTCCCCCCCCCCTAAAATAAACACACTTTTATAAAATATGGAAAGATATTTGCTGCTGCTGAATTTAGCAGCAACAGCAGTCCCTCAGACACCAGCTTGCCAGCTTGTGGCCAGTTAGTTTGAAATACTGACTGATGTCGAATCAATGCTTACATAGAAACAGGGTGCTTTATATCAGAAGATTTTCTGTTAAATCTTTGTATTCACAGAATGTGACTCATGACAGAAGTGCAGTTAGAAAGTATTTTGCAGCTTCTAGGCAAAACCCACCAAAGAGTGCCTGAAGCAAAACCACCACCCATCAACCCTGTGAAACCACAACTGCCACAGCCTAAGTAACTGAGAACAAACCCCAAAATTATCTTGGCCCATCTGGACCCTCATGCATAATTTTATTAAGACAAGGGCAACACAACCAAAGAAAAAAATGTTTCTGAAATGTCTGCGTTTTAATAACTGAGGACAAACTTTTAAGAGCACATTGATGAAAAAGTATTTATTCATTTTTCAAAGTAAGGTTTATTTGAGAGAAAATTAAGGGAAGCAAACACAGTTTAGCCAACACAGGTTTCTGATAAAATTAGTGCATTAGCTGCTCTCTAATAAAAAAGTATATTAAGTCAGGGCTTGAAGGGTTTCAGAGCACCCCCTAAAGCTCTGTAGCTGGTCAGAGATTACCACTTAGACCAAAAATTTTCCCATCAAACAAGAACTCTAATTCTTTGGAATGTATATTCAAAGTTTTATTTTTAATTCTATCTTCCAACAGCCAAAAAATGATAAATAAATTCCAAAATCAATGTTTTGAGTCTTGGAGGATACTTCAGTTTTGACAAAGCCAGACATGACATGAGAAATATTCTGAAAAATTGTTATGGACCAACTCCACATAACCCGACTCACTCGCAGCAAATCACCAAGAAGCCTTCACATCATGTGCTGCACAATTTGAGTGTTTGACAGGGCTCCTAATGAAAAGGAAATGAGCATCACTTAACCTGAGAGAAAAGAAACAAATTAATCTGCTTTCTGAACCCTTGCTCTTGGCAACCATTTGGTCTTTTACTGGCTCCTTCCCTTTCCCTGCTTTTACATGACTTTGTTCTTCAGTTTAAGTTTCACTCATCCATGCACCCCTGAAGGCATTTGCTGTTACATTTTTGGTTCAAATGACTTTACAGGTTTGGTCTCTGAACTTCTGGGTCATTCAGACTAACATTTTAAAAAACTGAACTTAAGTACTATGTTCTGCAAGGTTATAAGCAATTGATAGGAAGCAGATCTGAGTCCATACTGTAATGGAGAAATAACAATCACTGCATGCACATTCATACAAAAATATTTACCTCATTCATATTTCAAAACATCCCTGCAAACATCAAAAGATCTGTGTCTTACATAGACTCATTTTCTTTAAAATCCAGGTAAGCCTCTTGCCTTGGGACAGAAGAGGTTTGAAAAAAAGACAAAAGATTTCCCTATTTGCTGATAGTTTCTTCCCTCTACTCCCTTCTCCCATACAAGTGGCCCCATTTCCCACCCCTTTAATTGTATCATCTCCATACCAAGGCTCTAGGCAGGGTTGAGCAGCGCATGACCACGAGCTTCTCCAACTCCGGGACCTAAACCCCAGCATAGCCTGGCTCTGCCCCTGTCCCTCTCTCCTCTGCACACAGGCGGGAGCCCCAGCCAACCATTCTTTGGCACAGAAACTAATTGCAATAATTAGCCAACTACCTGCCCCTCACCTGACCCAACAATTGATTCCAGTGTTAATTGTACAAGCACTGCTCACTTACTATCCAATATCCATAGACCAAATGTCCCAGTGTAATGCTCTAGAACCCACAGTCCCCCCATCCTGCTAAGAAGGACCACCCTGAAGTATGTGAGGACAAACCCATTACTCTTACTGACACTGAATTAGGGCTCAGGTAATAGCAGATTTCTTTATAAACATAGTTGAGCACCAGAGAGGCTGACCGTCAGTTTAAAGGTGTCTTTCGATCACAAAACAGTCCATGCTCTGCATTCAGACTCCTCAATTTGGTTGCTTCCCTATCAGCAACACCTGCTGCTTTAGTCAGCACATTCCTGATGGCAACAAGGCGCTTCAAAGAAAGCACCTTTGCTTGAATGCACCACAGTTAATGGGTGACAATTCTGGAAGGCAGAGACATAGAGGAGAAAGAAAAGTAAGAAGACACAGGACTGGGCAGTGGGGCTGACAGCACCTTTGGGGCACCCTGCAGGCTGAAGTGCTGCTGGTGCAGCTGGCTCGGCCACCTCGGATCCCCATCCCACCTAGCAGCCCCAAGGGCAGGGGTATGGCTTCAAGCCCCAGAGAAGCTGCCCGTTCAGGTGTGCTAGGGTGGGAGATTTTCTCTATCACCTAAGGGAAAACAACTAAATGCAAACACCAAATTTATTTCCTTGGGAGTTTCCGTAGGCGGCTTTACAAACCAGAGTGCCCTCTACAGTCTGTGACACTTTAAATCAGACCTTGCCTTTAAGCCTTTGCCTTTTAAGCTGAAAATACTCCTATTTGTTTTTTAAAAAAGAAATAAGAAACCCCATACTAGCTTACCTGTTGGACAGACTGTCAGTAACCACCTAAAAGGGAGTGTGCCAGGGAATGTACTAACTATATGGGTACAGCATCTGCTTTAATTGGATAGATGGGGATGAGACAGTATTAAATATTTTATTCTCAGAAATTCAGTTCCAAATCACTTCCTGGATATTTACGACATTGGATTTTAAAAATGCTTTTCTCTTTTTTAAAATAGCATTCTAGTATAGCACTTTGTAGCTAAATAGTTGTATGCTATCCTCAGTCCAAGAACTGCAAATGATACAGTATGAATCATCAGGAGTGTTGAAACTATTCAACTTACACAACACAAACATTTTTCTAAAGACTAACAGTCGCGAGGTCTGTTGACAGTGACTGAAGTGGTTATGTACGGCTGAAAACACGAGAATTCAGGGGGGCTTTGAGGATCCTCTCCAGAGGATCTCTGCCCTCTTCTCCCCTGCAGAAGTTCCCTCTACAATCACCGTGGCTGGTATCCAACAGCAGCTCCATCCAGGGGGACCAGCGGCCTCTGGCAGGTAGAAAATGGCACTGTGTACTTGTAATGATTATAATGATCACTCTTAAGAGTCAAAAATGCAAGGGTTTGTTTTGGTTTTATCATTCTCAGACTGCATCTTTCATTTACTAACGAGGTGTAATAAGAGTTTGGTCACTTGGGAGGGATGGAAAGTGAGAGGAGCCAACTGGCTCTGTTCAAATGGAAGCACAGGCTTTCTGCGAAGGTAAGCAATTTAGCACCATGTAGCAAACCAAGGGCTGTGCCCGAGGTGAAATGCTGTTGCTGTTCACATCCTCACTCTCGCAACAAGTCACTTCGTTTGGTTGTAGGAAGGTGCCCTCTGCACTGATATTCAGGAAAACTGTCAGAGATTCGAGGTGAATAGCTTACGAGCAATCAAATCTAGAATTTAATGCAAAAGCTTTACACAGCAAGACAAGTTTATAGAAAAAAAAATCAAGCCAATCTCACCCAAGATAAAGACTGTTTTATATTACTGAAGGTAGGTCACATCCAGTAACGAGAATAATCCAAGAAAAGTTTTTGGTACCAC